TGTTCATGAAGATGGAGAAAGACAAATGGGAAACATAAACAGAACCCAAGAAAATGAGAAGTGACGACATTTCAGGACAGAATGCAAACTTGCCATGCGTCTCTTTTTTTGCAACTACCGTGTTTCCCCGGAAATAAGAGACTGCAACCATTCTTCGTATGTTTTTGTCTCCGGGCCTTTGATCCCCTTAGCTGGTCTTCTCGGAAGCCCCTTTCAGCCCAGCTCTTGTTTTGCTTCGCTTGGAGAGTGTCATTTCTGCACATGGGCAGCACATGAACTGAAGTGGGAACGTTTCCATGAGTTGCTTCCATGTTGTTTTCAACCTGCTTCCATGAGTTGAAACATCTGTTTGAGAAGGACCAGACCAGCCCTCACACCTGTAACAAGTAACAACTGTCTGCCTCTGCTGCTTTGGATTTGGTCGGGTGGGGGGGGGGTTGGACTAGATGACCTACAAGTTACCTTCCAGCTCTGTTAATCTGTTTTAATCTGCTTTTATATTGGTATCTGAAGAAGATGGGACTTCTTGAAAGTGTATTTTCTGTTGCACCTTGGCATCTAGTGCAAGCTAGTGATGTCATGTTGTGTTGTGACAACAGCACACATGGGGTACAACACATATAATTTGCATGATGCAAATTCCTTAATCTGTGTCCCCATTTGTCCCTTGCCTCCCACCCAGATGCCCATTGTATGTTGTATAGGTTGCATCCAGGTGTTTTCAAATCCTCCATTTTCCAAAGTGCAAGCAAGGGTAACAGACGATATCTTTTTTTTAACTTCTGCAGCTCCCGATTTTCTTCCCGAGAGCCTCTTTTTTAAATTCTCCAACTGGACATAAGGGATCTTCTATCTCTCTGTTGGGACTCACCTGCTCCCTGCCCAGAACATCTGGAAGGTCTGAGCACTGGCCTTTTTCTCTCTCAGCTTCTCAGAAGAGTCCGGCTGCTCTGATCTTTGGTGGAAAATGAGTGCCTTTGTTCGCAGCTGTTCCAGATATCTCACCTAAGGCTGCTTCCCTGAAATGGGAACTTCCCATCACTTAAAGCAGGGGTCTCCAACCGTGGCAACGTTAAGACTTGTGGACTTCAACTCTCAGAATTCCTGAGCTAACATGACTGGAGGAGAATTCTGGGAGTTGAAGTCCCCAAGTCTTAAAGCTGTCAAGTTTGTTGAAGACCCTTGGATTAGAACTACATGGCTGAAATATTTGGAGGCTGTGATCGGCTGCCGGTTTATGAATTGGGGGGGGGGGGCTCTCCAGTCACTGTAACTTTGAATCATCACTAAATGCACTGTTGTAAATTGAGGATGAGTGTGGAAAATGGTCATAGGTCACTTTTTGCACTGCTGTTGTAACTTTGAATGTGAACTGTTGTAAGTCTAGGGATACCTGTAAAGCAGCACAAGCATCTCCAGCATTTGCTCTCAACGCACAGCACTACGAGCTGATCAGGCTCTCTCATACTTTTGGTCACAGGACTTGCCTTCTTGCTTCCCCCCCTTCCTTTTCTGCCCCTTCTCTTAAGCTTGCGTGATCTCAAAAAGCTAAGCAGGCTCAGAAGGGGTTCCTCCCAGGATGGGCACCCATCACGATGCAACCCAGGGCTGGAAGTGAGGAAGTGGAAGATACATTCTAAAGCAGGGGTCTCCAACCTTGCCCACTTTAAGACTTGTGGACCTCAACACCCAGAAACAAAGCTGGCTGGGGAATTCTGGGAGTTGAAGTCCACAAGTCTTAAAGTGGCCAAGGTTGGACATCCCTGGATTAAGAACATGGCTGAAATACTTGGAGGCTGTGATCGGCTGCTGGTTTATGAATGGGGGGGGGGCTCTCCAGTCGTTCTAACTTTGAATCGTCACTAAATGCACTGTTGTAAATTGAGGATGAGTGTGGAAAATGGTCATAGGTCACTTTTTACAGTGCTGTTGTAACTTTGAACTGTTGTAAGTCTAGGGATACCTGTAAAGCAGCACAAGCATCTCCAGCATTTGCTCTCAACGCACAGCACTACGAGCTGATCAGGTTCTCTCATACTTTTGGTCACAGGACTTGCCTCCTTGCTTCCCCCCTTCCTTTTCTGCCCCTTCTCTTGAGCTTGCGTGATCTCAAAAAGCTAAGCAGGCTCAGAAGGGGTTCCTCCCAGGATGGGCACCCATCACGATGCAACCCAGGGCTGGAAGTGAGGAAGTGGAAGATACATTCTAAAGCAGGGGTCTCCAACCTTGGCCACTTTAAGACTTGTGGACCTCAACTCCCAGAAACAAAAGTGGCTGAGGAATTCTGGGAGTTGAAGTCCACAAGTCTTAAAGTGGCCAAGGTTGGAGACCCCTGACCTACAGCACCTGAGGGCAGGAAAAGAAGCATTGAGTGGGGAGAAGGAGACCCAACTTGGGACTATGGAGGAATTTCCTGACAGTGAGAACAATGAATCAGCTTGCTTCCTGGTGTTGGAGGTGCTCCATCACTGGAGGTTTATTCAAAAGCCTGGACAGACATTTGTCTGGGATGATCTGAGGACCTTGGTCATTGGGTTGGACTAGAAGACCTCTAGGATCCCTTTTAACCTATGGTTCTTGGAAGTTTCTGATTAGAAATCTGTCAGGATTCTTACTTTACTGGAGTCTCAGCTTGGCACATGGTGAACAATACAACTACAAGGGTTTCTAGCCAGCATTCCTGGTTTCTGCTAGCCAGCTGGCTATACTAGGGGTCTCCAACCTTGGCCACTTGAAGCTTTGCTGGCTGAGGAATTCCGGGAGTTGAAGTCCGTAAGGCTTAAAGTGGCCAAGGTTGGAGACCCCTGTGCTAAAGGGCTGATCAGCCTCTTCCACCTGGTTGGCAGGAAAGGTGGACATGTCCATGGGGTCACCCGCTTGGAAAAGGAAGCTTCTCACCTTGGACCCACTGACCCCGGCCTTCCTCCCACTTTTACAGCGTGTGTGGGGTGAGGGATGATCAGGAAACCTGAGCTTTGCAGCTACAGGAGAGGGAAGAGAGTAGAACCAAGTCAGCAAACACACGAAGCTTGGGCTGAAAATCTGGAATAGGATTTTGGGAGACCCCCCAGGAGGGGATGACCCAGGATAAGCCCAGCGTCGCCTTTAAAGAAGAGTGGAGGGAAGGCAGGCCCAGCTCCAATTCGTTATTCTACCTTCAGCAGGGAACGTGCCAAACATGAGCAGGGAGAGACAAATAATTGTAACGTTAAATAGAATGTGTGGTTTTTTTTAAAAGGTTTAAAAATTAGAAAAGACACAGGAGTTACAAGGACAATGTTGTTTTCCAAAAATCCACCTGAATAAGTCTTTTCCCCTTCTCTGTTTGTGCCTCAAGCAGAGCAATTTGTTGACTGCATTAGAAGCAAATTAAAATGCTTATCAAATCGGAATTGTGTCCTAAGCAGCAATTCACTTACAACCTCAAACAATTTATTCACACATGCATTGATATAGGTGATCCTAAGCCAGCTTTTCAAGGCAGCAAGTTAGCTTATGGGAGGATCCAGATTGTTGGGGGTAAGAGGCTGACTCTGTAAACCGCTTAGAGAGGGCTGTAAAAGCACTGTAAAGCGGTATGTAAACGCTATTGCTATTATGAACTTTAAACATCCACACAGAGAAAACAATTGCAGAAAAATAAGCAAAGCAAAGAACAGTTCATATAATATTTAAAATAAATTACAGAAGCCTACAAAAAACTGACTTTTGAACAGTACAGCTTAGCAAAAGTTTATTTATCCTCTAGCCATCTATCCTCTCTTAGGAAGGCCAGGCTGGCCCCTTCTGAAACAGTTAACAATGGGACACCTATGAAGCTCCAATCCCAGGCCATGAAGGAAGAAACCCACACCTGGAATACCTTCCAAAAAAAAAGTGCAGGACAAGGCAGTTTGTATAAGCCTATGATCAGCAAACTAGCTATCTTATAAAATCCCCTTTCTCAGCAGCAATAAATGCACATAAAACTTTTTCCAGGACAAGCAAGGATAAGATTAAATGCCCTGAATCATATAACCTGACTTTACCAACCAGCTAAAGTCCCATTCAACACCATGGGGCTTACTTCAGGCTTAGACTGCAACCAAAGGCATTTTGGGTTGCACATAAACTCCAGCAAAACTTTAGGCTCCCAGGGGAAGCCGCAAACAACAAACAGGAAAATAAAGGTTTATGACAGAATATTTGTGTTTTATTTAGGAATTTTAAACCAGAATTTCTAAAACTGTCTTGCATCTTTGGTTAATCCCCCAAAATACACCTTACAAAGAGAGAGTTCTCCCGGGGAATTAATTCTTAGGAAGAGGGAGGTAATGTCGGCACCCGGTACAAGGAATATTAAAAATTGGCACTTAGGTGAAGATGTCCATCCGTTGAAGCGTGCAACTTGAAAGTGCTGACTGGTACTGGAATCCAAAGCAGTGGCCATAAACTGTGACCCCTCAAAAGGAGCTCAGCATTCTCCCTAAAATGACCAGTGTGTGTGTGTGTGTGTGCCTGAAAGCTTTCAAGGGCCCATCCTGCCCAGGCGAAGCTCAGTTAAAAGTTCTGCACCGATTCCAAACCGGGTCCCCAAAGTCAAGGAAACCGGTTGCACAACGAGAGAAAAAAGTTTTGCAAAGTTTTTTCCCTATGGCTAAAGAGAGTTCTGTGCACAGCCTTAGTCCCGGCTGGTGAGATGGCAAGGCTCCGAGCAATAAAATAAACATAATAATAATTATAACGACGACGACGACGACAAGTACAAGAGAGGCTTTCACAGTACAGGGCGGGCGGGCGGCGGAAGGAGGGGACCGGGACGAAATCCCGAGCGGAGAAGCGGAGGGTTCAGTCCGGGCCGGCCCGCTCTCTCCCGGCCAGGGTTTAAGGTGGCAAACGCCGCGCGGATCCGCGTTCCCCACCTTTCTGTCCGCGGCTGCCCGGAGGCGGCGGCGGCGGCGGAGCTCGGCCAGGACACCCGGCGGGGTCCCCGAAGAGCAGCGGCCGCTCCCGACGGCTTCGCCCGCGCGGGCTCCGCGCTCAGCCCGGCTCCTCCGCCCCGCGGCAGCGGCCCAGGCGCCCCTCGCCCGTCCGCTCAGGAGCAGCTGCCCATGGCCTTGACCAGCGAGCTCTCGGGCAGCTGTCGGAAGATGCCGCGGAGGGTCTCCAGCTCGCGGCCCAGCTGCTCGACGCGCTTGCGGAGCCGCTCGTTGTCGTTGCTCAGCTCCAGCACCTTCTGCTGCGTCTCGGCGTTGCGCTGCTTGGCTTTGTCGCGGCTCTTGCGCACCGCGATGTTGTTGCGCTCCCGCCGCACCCGGTACTCGCTGCTGCCCTTGTCCAGCGCCTTCTTGGACTTGCCCGCCGACGGGGCGGCGCTGGCGTTGGGCCCGGCGGCCTGGAGGCGGTGGGGCGGGTGGTGGGGGCCGTGCGGGCTGGGCGCGGGCGTAGGCGGCGGGGTGGGCTGCCCGCCGGGCTGCTGCAGGTGCACCGTGGTCTGGGCGCAGTGGGCCGCCTGGTACTGGAGGTGGCTGCAGGGCGGCCCGGCGGGCGGCGGCGGGTAGAGCGCCGAGAGCGCGGCCGCCTCGTCGTCTTCGTGCGGCTCCTGCTTGATGAGCAGCGGGCGCAGGCCGGGCAGCGGCGGCGGCGGGGGACCCTGGCCCAGGCGCTCGTAGCCGCCGCCGCCGCCGCCTCCCTCCAGCTTGTCGGCGTAGCAGTAGAGCGGGACCCCGCCCGGCGGGAATCCGGCGCCCGGCATGCCGGCCCCGCCGCCCTCCAGCCCGGCCTTGGCGGCGCGCTCCTGCTGCTGCTGCTTGCTGTGCTGGAAGAGGTCGGCCAGGAACTCGTCGTTGAAGGCGCCCGGGTCGATGTAGGCGCTCAGGTCGATGGAGTTCTCGTGCTCGCAGATCTCCGGCAGCTCCGACGCCGCCAGGTAGCCGAAAGGACCGGCCGGCGGGACGAAGCCGAGCGCGGCGGCGGCGGAGGGCAGGTGCGCGGCGGCGGCGGGGACCGGCGGGCGCTGCTGCTGCTGCGGGTGCGAGTGGAAGACGCTGGGCATCGGGGGCCGCGCGTCCGCCTCGTAGAAGTTGCCGGGCTCCATCGAGTAGCTAAAGCGGACCGCGGCGCATGGTCGGAGGCCGGCGGGGGTCCGGTGGCGGCGGCGGCGGCACTCCAGGTCGGGCCGGGCTGGCTCTGGGCTGCCCGCCTCGTCCCGGGCCGCCTATTTATACCTGCCGGCGCCCCCTAGCGTCCGCCTCCCCCCCACCCCCCACGGCCCCGACGGTGCCTCCCCGTCCCACCTCTGGCGCCGCCTCCGGGCCGCCTGCCTGGAAGGGCCCGCGGGAGGGAGGGGGCGCTGCCTGCCTAGTTTGCAGCGGCGCCGAGGAAGCCTAAAGTCGCCCTCGCTCCCGCGTGCAAAAGCCCAGATCGCCTCGGCCGCTCGGCTGAGACCCCATCGTCCCAGCGGAGCCCCCCCCCCCCCGGCCCGAAAGCCAGGCGGCCCACGAAGGCGCCCCGTCCCGCCGCCGCCGCCGCCACGATGGGGAAACGGCGGCCCCCGCAACTCCCGCACGGGACGCTCCGCGGTCGTTCTGTCGTTGGACCCCCGGCCGGCCCACCCCCAGAATGCGCCTCCCCGGGGCTTTCCCTGCCAATAGCCGGGTGGGGGTGGGGGCTGTATTGGCACGGACTTCGCTTCGGAGCGCCTGAGATTCTCTCCAAGTTGGAGACCAGCCAAAAGCGCCTTTTCCTCCTTGGAAATGATCTGGCAGGTTAAGGCTGTCCAAAAGGCTGAGACACCTGGAAGCCGAGATAAGGCGCTTGGCAAAGGGCTCCCCGGAGTCCAAGGTTACCTTTCGGCAGAGCTGGAGGGAGGCCCATTAAAAGGCAGCCTAGGGGTCTCCAACCTTGGCAACTTTAACACTTGTGGCCTTCAACTCCCAGAATTCCTCAACTTTAAGAGTTGTGCAT